TGAATTGCACAAAACGCATGATCGCACCGGCTAGCCTGGTGCGCGTTGCCATTTATTTATTCTGAAAAGGTTGTTAGCTCAACAGCTTCTCCCCACTGCCCCCAACAGAAGCCCTTGGCAAGGCTTTATCCATATCAAAATTGTCTTTTTTGAGTGCTAGCATTTAATAATTGACATTATTAAATCCATGGGCATGCGATAATCATAAGTTATAAGTCTGTAATTAATCATGAGTCATAAGTCTGTAATCATAAATAATCATAATTTTGTTATTTACACATGCAGTAGCCACTAGTCTTGTCTAAGAGATGTGCTGATGCAGTGGCTCCACGGCAAGTTTTGATTTATCATGATTATTTAATTGTTTAATTCTTTTTAACTTCTCAGTGATGTGTTTTATTTAATCCATGGGATTTATTTCCAGGTTATTATACTGGACGAAATCCATGAGCGCAACTTATCCGGTGATTTTCTTTTGGGTTTGCTTCGTGAGCTGGTACAGCGACGGCAAAATGATCTCAAACTCATTCTGATGAGTGCGACTATTAATTTCGAACTATTCACTAGCTATTTCGAAGGCGCTCCAATCATAAAGGTACATAAAGTTAACGCTCATCTGGTGGGAGGTGGGAGGGGGGCGGGAGAGGAGGGAGAATGAAAGAGCGTAATCCAGTCCAGCTGTCAGGGGACTATTTCTCCAATAGTTGACTTGTTCCAGTCATAAAGTGGTGATTCTACGTCTAATTTTCGGGAAAATCAAATATCTTTCAGCTTATTCTTTAGCGAATTTCACGAAAACAAAAACCTTCCGTCGTTTTTTCGTAAAGTATTCTTACTCAACCTGCGTTTAAGCTTCTTCAAAAGAAATAATTACGGTCGGACTTTGTTTCTGGCATATTCATCCAAACTTCTTAGCTTGCATATTTCGAAAATGTTGTCTGCAATGATGAAGAAGCTCATTTCAGGTGGCAGGACGATTGTTTCCCGTTGAGCTACAATATAGGCCAATAAAGGAGCACGACACATATGATTCGGATAAGAAAAAAGCAAAAATCGATCCTGAACCATATCTTAATGTGAGTAGCTTTCTGCTCAGCTGTTGCGTGCGCTACCTCATACATCTTTTCCGTTATAGAATATAAAGCGGGGACGGGGGAAGTTCAAGCAGTCAAGGAAATTGAGTTAAAGTTATAAGCGTATTTTGAAATAATAGGAAATAAATTAGTATTAAAGAATTAGTAAAAGTATTAAAATTATAATAATTAGTAAGAAATGTTTCAGTCCATTAAGTCGTATACATTTCTTGCCATTACCACAAATGAAATTACTGGTTTGTTTTTGAAGATTTTGCAAATGATTGACACAAAAGTGGATAGTGACGAACGGGGAGATGTATTGGTATTTTTGAACGGTATATCAGAAATATCGACGGTCGCCGAGGCGTTGAAAGTGTATGCCGAAACTTCGAAGAAATGGATTATCCTTATGTTGCACAGGTATTTCTGGCTGTTTCGCGATTCTCATGCATTTCACGATATTTTCTTTTGTCTGTTGGATTTGCTGACTATGTTTCCTCGTGCCTGCTTCATCCACGAAACTTCATGAAGTAGGCGTTCCGGTGGAACCTTCCGTCCCAGTGGGAAATAATTGTTCTAGATTCTCTACATACCACTAGTTCGCACTGTTCTTCATTTGCCCTGTTATTTTTATTGCGTAGTCATTTCATTCCCCTTTTTATACGTTTTGTGCTGTATAACAGCAGTACAAAACGCATATTGTCACGGGGTTGTCTGTGTGTGTGTTTGTGTGTCCGCAGCAACTTGTCCGCAACTTTCAACTCAGGAACCACAAAAGCTAGAAAAAAAATTTAGGGTAACGTTCCCCACCCACGTGTGACCCCGCAAATTTAAATTCAGCTTCCCCGTACCTGCGGGAAATTTAGGGGAACGTTCCCCACCCACGTGTGACTCCGCAAATTTAAATTCAGCTTCCCCGTACCCGCGGGTGACGCATACGGCCCCGTGTAAGTTTTTTACGGGTAAGTTAATATCTCGGGAACCACGGAGTCTAGGAGGCTGAAATTTTAAGGTAATGACCCCCTACCCCCGCCCAACCTTGCCTATTCAAATTCAGCGTTCTCGCGCTCCCGAGTACCACTAACGGCCCCGTGAAAATTTTGGCGGGTAAACTATTAACTCGGAAATCACGGAAAGATATTCATCCTTCAAGGTTCCGAATTCAGCTTTCATGCGCTGGTGCGTGAAATTTTTGACTGTTTTCCAGTGCTTGAACTATTTTTGCATAGACTGAAGTACAAAGCAGTGAAAATCATTAACAGGCAATCGTTCGATGGCTGAATTGCACAAAACGCATAATCGCACCGGCTAGTCTGGTGCACGTTGCTATTTATTGTAATATGTTTCCTTAATTATGACTTTTAAGCGATAATTGCCTGTAGGATTTCATTGCTGCATTATGCGGACGCATACCATGCACCGTTATGTGCTGCCATTCTTTCTCAGCTTTCTTCTCCTTTGTAAAATTCCATTTTTTGCATCAGCATTTGAACTAATTTCAGCACACTTTCTATGGAGGAACAAGATAAAGTGTTTGATATGGCGCCGGTGGGAATTCGAAAATGCATCCTTAGCACAAACATTGCAGAAACATCTGTAACCATTGATCAGGTACGCATTCACAAAAGGATTTCTTAGTTTTAAACAAACTTCCGAAGAAAAGGAACTCACATTTGACTATACTTTTTGCAGATTCGATTTGTTATTGATTCGGGAAAAGTAAATCTAGTGAAATTCGATTCGAAAACAGGCATGCACTCGCTTCGAGAATATTGGACCTCTCAAGCTTCTGCAGATCAACGCAAAGGTACAGATTACCCTATCTAAATACTTTATTACTTTGATCGATTTGCAGTTCACTTCATGTTTCTCCTGTACTGTACACGTAACTGGTAGTTTTTCCAGTTGCTCTGACCAATGCTGCTTTGCTTTACGGCCAGTTCGGTAGTATTCTTGACGTTTGTCGAATCTTATAACTAGCCGATTAAGAGGGGTTAGCAAAACGATGCTAACGATAGAATTTTATGAAATAGAAAAATAGAAGGATTTCACTTGAATGTCATGTGTTCGAAGACATTTTATGACGCAGTCTGTGTTTCATCCCTTAGTTTTATACACAGACCGAACAGTGCATGCGAGTAGGAGTGGGAATCATCAGTACAGCCTCCTACCCACCATGTTTTGAATTGTCATGTGTCTAATTTGCAAGACAGATGACAGGAAGAAATAGATATGAGTGAAGGAGGAAACAGAGTGAGAAAGGAAGGAAAGAAGAGAAGTTAAAACGTGAAGGAGCAAACATAAAAACAGACCAAAAAATTCTATTTGGCTACTTGATTAGCTGTAATTGTGATTATTTCCCTCCTATGTAACATCATGATAACGATGAAATTTTTTTTAATAATGTGATGGATCGCTGCTAAGCCAAAAGTTCTTTTTCCTCATGTTCATATTGTGTTGAAATTAGGTAGTTGTTATAGCTTGTAGCTAGCCGATTAAGAGTTTTATTGATCTTAGCGTGATTATGAGGTTTTTATGCGTTTTTTGCAGCAATGCAATGCAAAAAACGCATATTGACGAGAGGTTGT